TGCTGTGCGCTCTGGAGGTTTTTCAGTTTGCTTAGCCCATCCAGGGACCTGCCACCAAGGGATGATCTGCAGACATGGCATAAGCTATAAGTTGCCAGCTGTATTTCACCTCTAGGGGAGCTCAGATACAGTTTAAGTCTTCCAAAGAGTTTATCAGGCTCAGTGATCACAGGAAAACAGGCTTCACTCATGGGAGCCTAAGAGTCCTCCCCCATCAGAGAGCTGGAGAGAGCCACTGATGCAGAGATGTTAGTAGGGATTGTTCCAGAGATGAAAGGAGCCCATCAAAAAAAAAAAAAAAATTTCGACCTTGAGTCATGTCTTGTGCTTTCGTACCTCCATCAATACATAGTAACTCTATCAACTACAACAGAATTGCTTCAACTTGCAGCATATTTTGGCTCAAATTGTATGCATTTTCCAAAGAGGATAAATTCAGAACTATTGCAAGAAAATTATGTGTTGTATGATCAGAAGGTAAACCTAGAATAATAACTAAAAAAACAGCCTCAAAAAACCAAACCAAACCACAACCAACCAACTTTAAAAAACCCACAACCAACACAAAATAGTAAGACCTTGAATCCAGAGTTCATTATTTAAAGGATTTTATTTCCTGGACAATTTTAAAGACATTTTTTCAAAGATTATTGGGAGGTGGAGGTGGGCAGGGCAGTGTCTGCAGACTTTCTAAAACCACAGATTCCAGTAACTTTTGGAGGAATCTAGAGCATCCAAAGTGACTGTGTACCATTGCCCAACCATCTTTCTTCAGATATTGCTGCTCTCTACCATTGTGCACATTTAGTTCAGCACCAGCTCACTTCTGCTGAAAAACCTCATGGCACAGCTGATATAGCAGACGAAGCTGTTCTTCCCATGTGGGCACATCTATATAAATTCACTTTAGTCATCATTATCAGCATTAGTCTTCTGCTCAGGTGAAATTCAGAGTGGTGTTCTGCACAGTCCCTGACCCAGACTTGTGACCGTGCCCAGCTGTCTGTGATAAACCAGGACATTAAGTAGATCCTTTCCTCCTTAGGAAAGACCCAGATCAAAGCCTCTTCCATAATGGCCATGTAAACTCTTTTAAAGCTATCTATCTCTTGGGGTCCCTGCGCCATACTCTTGCTACTCCTCCAGAGGAGGAAATGGCTGGAGCATGAGTTAGGTGCCTGTGTAGTGGTGTCCAGTGGCTCTCCACCACAGCTTGGAAAGCTGAACGCTCTCCAGCTAATGCATTATTTTATGTCAGTGATCTCATGTTTAAAGCATCATTTCTTTAGTCTTAGGCTTTCCCGCAGGGTCAGTAAATTCCACATTCAAAGAAGATTTTAATTCCTTGGTGAGTGACAAGCCGGAATGGCGATTTGAGCCCTAATCCCTCTCTTGAGTGGTGAATGAAGCATCTTGTCATTAGTACATCAGACAGATGCTACCAGAGATATCATGGGAATAGCAAATACCAGCAATCTGAGCCAGCTGGAAAGCAATAAGGCTGGGGATGGTACCCTCTCCACCCCATCGGCCTGCAGGGTTCTGCTGAGCCCTCCCCACCTCCTTCCTACTGGTATAGCATGAACCAGGAGAGACATCTTTCATTTTTCTTCCAGCTCTTTTCCTGTCTTCAGACCCATCATTCCCCAGTCTGTATGGAGGGAAGAAATAATAGTATTTAAAACTTATTCTGTTTTGTTCATTCCTGGTTTACTTCCTTCTGCTTTGAATTGCTTTCCCAGTCCTTGACTTTCTACCGAAACATCCTAACATGTTTCTCTTAAGCCCCCTTTACACGTACCACTTGGCATCAGCCCAGCAGGATAAGTACATTTGGGAAGGCAGTGAAACTAGGGCTCAGCAAGGGAAGGGGGTGGGTGAGAAAAATCCCAGATGGCCATTTTTCTCCAAGAATCTTTTGTGTTACTGAGGATTAACCTCCATCATCCCACCAAGTTTGCTGACTACTTCCTGCCATTCTCTTGCGTTGAGCAGTTACTGGGAATTTAATTTTGCACTTTGGCATTAGATCTACAAATCACCCAGCAACAGCCATGAAGCAACACAAGGCCACCTGTCTCTTACAGTGCCATTGCTCACAGTGTTATGGAGAAAAGCTTAGTGACAGCAATAAGTGTTTATCTCCTTAAATCTCTCAGGCACCTGGAAATAGAAATGTCCCCTGCCTTGCCTCTGCAGTGCTGACTCACTGCCTCTCCTTTGAAGAAGATCCCCCTTTATCTCCCTCCACAGAGGGGCTCTACCTCCACTTGGTACTGCTGACTTTTTGCTCCTCTCCAACTGAGGTACCTCTGCTAATATTATCTAGTGTTTATCCAAGGCTGATTCCTGGACCATTAAGTCAGGGAAATGGAGCAGAGGCATGGGATACCTGTGACTTTCAGGAAACACCCATCACTGCCAATGTCTTTCCCCACCTGGAAGCCCCATGTCTGCATGCCCTGCCTTACCATCTCTCTTTCACTTTCCTATTTCTTTTTTTATACCACCTTTCACTTGCTTGTTTTTTTTTCAGCTCTCTGTCCACACAGAATGACAAGACTTATTCAACAAATCCTTGGCAAGCAAAGAAAATCTGCACAGGTAAGGTGAACGTGGACTAGTGAAGGTGGCCTTCAAGGGCCATCCCCAAGTCTCTTTTCCTGTTGTTCACACTGCTGCTTTTCCTTCTCATTGAGGTTTTTGAATGCTCTGCTCTTCCCACAATTATGATTCTATGATTCTTGGTGTTACATGGCAAAGGGACATCAGCAAAGTGTCATCTGGAACAAGTGGCAACAAATAATGTTGCTGCAGGGTGCTGTTATTTCCATTTTTCTGGTTTAGAGGGATTTTAATGATGTGATTTTGTACTTACATTAACAAAGAAGGTTCCATCATTTTATTTTATTTTTTTTCTTACAATATTTGTTATATTCCCCTACAAAGAGAGAATGTTCTTTTGGTTATCGCATCTGATACTGGTGTGACATACATCCTGCATACATCAGGGGCACACCTGAGCAGGAGGTGAGCTATATTTTACCTTCTCCTGTGGAGCCAGAAATTGATTCCACCTGTAGTGGAAAACAGACATAAGTGAGCCTGTCCCTTTAATTTTCACCCAGTGTAGATCTGTGTCTCTCAGTAAGAAAGATTCTGAGCAAAGTTGGAGATAAACCAGCTGGGTGAACAAAATTGGGAAAAGGGAGACAATAACAAGCTCTCATGCTATTCAAGTCATCTGACAGGATCACCTTACCTTGCACTAGTAACCCACTCTAAGCTGCTAGCTGCTGTCCTACTAACAGAGCTTTCTTAGCTCACTGCTCTCCAAAGCAACATTACAGAGTATTACAAACTAGAGTCTGCAAATGTGTAGAACATGCAAACTATCCCTTCCCCCTGCAGCTCTTTCTCCTTGCAAACACCAGTGCCAGGAGTCAGAGGAAGCAATAATATTTTGTCTTTCCTGAAAGACATAGGGTTTTACTTGTAGTTAGCCACCCATCTAAGTATCTTAGCAACTTTATTCATTTTCTAAGGATTCTGGAAAATAAAAGAAAGAACCTTAAAGAAAACTTCAACAATCTGTAAGCTCAACACCTGGAAGTAAAACTGAAGAACAGTTTATTAGTGCACTTGGAATAATCTGCAATCCCCTTAACAAATAACATTATCATAGCTTTGCTGAAGTTTATGGCAAACTACCAGCCCAGATGCAAAATTTCCTCACCAGCTTTTAAGATAACGGTGGTAGGAAGGGAAAGAAAGGAAATGTATTGCCACAGGTGCCACCATCTGCTCCATGGTCTGAAAGGGGAACTTTGTTGTGGAGCTTTATTAGCCCATTCCACTCCCTGCTTTCTGAAATTCAGCTTTCTGTTACTCAGTGGGCTTTGATACACTTCAGTGTCAAATCTGAGAAACAAGAACGTAAGTAAAATGTGCTGGAGGCTTCTGAAGGCGTAGAGAGGAAGTAGGCACCAAATTCCCATCACTCGTACCACGGGAGCTCTGCACCAAAGTACTCTTAGTGGGGCTACTTTTATTTTTTTCTTTCAGTTCAGTTTCAGCATCTCTCTCTGTTCTCATAGCAACTCTGATAATTTGGGCTTGAATCCACAGCTGGGAACTGAATTTACACTTTACAGACAATCTGAACGACATACTCACATTGCTTCCTTCCAGGAAGGCTTATGCTTTGTTATCTTCCCTTTCCTCAGAGCTGTACATGCATCAGATGTGCCTGCACCAGTGAATGGAGGTGTCTGCAGTTCTCCCATGTGAAACTGTTTCTCTTCTACATGCTGAGTACAGAACCATATCAGGACTGGTAGGAAGCACAGAAGTCACTGTCTAGTCCTTCCTTTCAGCTGTAGGTCATTGGGAAGCCACATGGATCCAGACCAAGGGCAGGATCAGGGAGGGCATCATTTTCATAATTTGTTCTTCTCTCTCTGCCAAGTTTCCCTGCTCTTCACAGTCTCTTTGTGTCCTATTCTCCTTATTTTCTGGCCCTGCATGTTACCCTAGTCTCCTCACTTCATTCATGGTTCCCAATGTTTTGCAGCTCCTTTTCAGTTCTTCCCATTGTTCTTCCCCTTTCCTTTTCGTAGCACCCTATGAATTCTGAATAGGATATTCTGTTTCCAGTGAAATGTCCCATCCTTCTAACCCATAAGTATATTTACCTAAAAGCTGAAAGTTTTGGAGCTGAAAATCTCACAGCTCTAGAACACTAAACATACCTTTAAGGAGAGAATTTCTCAAGCATGGGCAGAGTTTCAATTTTTTTTAATCATGTTGACACTGATATAAAAAAATTAAACTTTCAGATGCTAGAAAATATTCTACATGAGATTCTAACAATTTTAAGATACACAAGATCAAATTTAATAATCTTTTTTTTACATTTATAGCTTTCAGCCTTTGAAAAACCATTTCTAAGCATCTACTTGGAAGGTAAATTTAAATAAGTAGTGTTATTGCAGAAGAGCTTTACAAAATATTTCTATGCTTGTAAGAACATTTTAAGCAATATAGTCTATATTATTTTCTGATTTCCTACAATTGATTTTGTTTTGGGACATTAATTTATGCTAAATATATTTATTCAGCCAGTTGATCATATCCTTTCTTCCCTCCTCAATATAAGGTTTATCTTGAGGATTGATATCTTCTCTTTTGCGATGCACAAACCCATGTGTCTGTCCAGGGTAAATTTTAACTTCATAATCAACTTTACAGTTTTGTTTTAGCTTCTGCTCCAGTAAGGTGACCTGTAACACAGAATGTTCCATGCTGGTTGAGTGCAAAGTTAACATGTTCTATACAGTCCTCAAATTGTCCTGGTTTTTTACTCTTCAGGAAGACAGATACAGTGTGTCCTTGCCTCTGTTTTCTCTTTTAATTTTAAACCTAAATGTGTTTCTGTTACTGCACTTCCTTTATTTAACTAGTCTTTTTTTCCTCCAGTAAAATAACAGCATGTGACTGTATAAAATGTGAAAAAGTATATGGATTACTGTAATAACACCTTGGAAAGGTAAAAACCATATTGCTTAGCATGATGAGAAGGTTAGTGTGTACTCATCACTGTACAAGTTACTGCTACTAGACTTCACACTAAAAAAAAATGGGGCAAGAGTTGGAATTAACTTGAAATTGAGGGAGGAGAGGCACAGATACAAAATCAACAGTTCAAAGTGACTGGCATGTTTGGTAGGAAAATTAAAGCCAACACGATTCAATAAAAACATGTGTTCCTCTTTGATCCCCTTGGCAGATAACCATCTTTCTCCAGTCATTCTCCACCCAGGCTCCAGAGAAAGGCTGTTGACAGAGCATCAGAAAGGAGAAGCTCTGCAGGAGAGTAGGAAAAGGAAAATGATAGTCACAGGATTTTTAACTCTCCTGCAATATGATGCCAATGGTACAGGTGGGGATTTTCTGCTGATTTTATGGACCATCAGTATCACTAAAGATGGTCTCTTATCTAAAAATTGACAGAGGTCTTCCTTTGGATTCTTGCTCTTTTCTTAGAAACTGATTACAGTCATTCATATTTTCAAACAGAAACAGAAAACATTTTAAATGTCACTGTAAAACTTTTTGATTTGTAGGTAAACAACATAAATTGTGTAGAAGCACTGCAAGAGCTAGTGAAAGAGGAAGAAAAGTACAAATCAGTTTTCTAGTTTCTCTCCATTAAATACCAAGCATGAAAAGCACTAAAAAGACAAATATCTCTGATGGGAAACTCACCTGCTCCAGTGGGATGATGTCATCCTTCTCACCAAAAATGAAGAAGGTGGGATGCAGCAAATCGGATTTGTCCTCAAAGTGCCTGATCACTCCTAGGGAAGAAGGAGAGGCATATACAATGAGTCATGTTACTTAAAGTGGCTAAAGCACTACCAAATCTATACAGTCAAACTACAAGACATTTTGATCAGTTAGGGTTGATCAGTTTGTAATGGAATTAAACACATTTTGCTTAAAGTCCCTTTTGTTGTGGGATGTTTGGCATGTTATTAAAGATGAAAAAAACAGTTCTGTGTGAAAAAGGGAAAAAATGTTACACTTGCCCCATTTTTGTGGTTTTCTTTGGGCAACTGCCTCTGATCACTCTCAGAGACAGGGCTCTGTGAAAGACAGACACTTTAGAGCTGCTCACCTCTAGCCTGGGAAGGCCATTTTTAAAGATAATTGCAAATATTCATCATTCCAGATACATGGTTAGGATTTCAGTGTACACATATTTATACTGAGATGAATTCATAACAAACTGACATTGCAATTTTGACTATTCAAATATATTTGAATTTAAGTAACAGTACAACTAACCAGCTATCACCCTGGCCACTCTTTTAATTCCTGATTATAACAAAAAAGTAAAACTTGGCAAGTAGCATTGTTGAATTGACTCAACTGACCAGCAAATCAGTGTAGCAAAACAGTCCCCATAAGCTTTCTGGAAAAATGCCTTCAACTTTCTTTCACCTAAAATTATTTTAAATTGCTTTGGGTTATGTAGAATTATGGAGGTTTATAACAAAGATATCAAAGGTAGTTTAAATGCATTCTGAGAACTAAAGTGTGAAAGTACAAGTGTTAAAACAGTTAAAAATTTGGTTTTATTAGTAACAAGGGACCACTGCCTAAAACATCTAAAAGATATGCCCAGAAACCCTTTTGTCATCGCCAGCCAAGAGGAACCTCAGCCACAGTGAGGCCTTGGCATTTGGTGTGCTTCATATGCTGTTTTACAGAAGTGATCCTGGTCATGCCACTTGAATGCACAGATCTTGCTGGTTATGATTACTTGAAAAAATGTGTGTGCAAAATCAAATTGCTTATAATAAAATCACCTTCTTCCATTAGATGTCGCACTGAATTTTGTTTCAGTAATAACATTACAGAATTAGTTCCTGCACCAGTCATATCTGCTCAGAATGTAATAGGTATATTTCAGGCTTACCATAGAGGGACACCCCTGTCTTTAAATGAGGATTTTTCAGCATCAGATGTTGCACTGCTGCTCCACCCCAACAAAAGCCAATGACACCAATCTTCTTTGCACCACATTGGTCCCGTAGATACTTGAGGACGACATCAACTTCTCTGAGACATGCAAATGAAATTGAATTAAGGCTCTAGCTCTGTTCCCCTGGCCTCCATGGTGGCTGCTGATCACAGATTGGCTTCAGTCAGTCTGCTCCTGGGAGGGAGTGAATGCCTTTGCATCACTCATGGTTTTTCTCTTTCCTTTCCTTATCAAATTGTCTTTATCTCAACCCATGAGTTTTCTTGCTTTGTTTCTCCTATTCTGCCCCCTGTTCCTCTTGGGGGGGCAAGTGAGTGGCAGTACAGATGCTTGGTTTCTGGCTAGGGTCAACCCACAGCATTACTATTATTTATTCTAAAATACAAGAGAAATGCCAGGGGAGGAGACAAGAGATCTAGATTCCTAGATCACTGTTACTAGGATGCAAGGTGATTTTATAAACAGTGGTCCAATTAATTCCACAAATAGCCATACTTGTCATATAGGCTAACACAAAAGTTTGAGACACACAGCCAGTCAAGAGCATCCTGTTATCACAAATGTGACTTATAGGTAAACTATCTCTCACCAGGAAGACAAATACTCTATGAAATTGTGGAAGCAAATTTGAAATCATGGCTTCTAAATCAGCAGTGACATAATGCAATCAAGATACATGTGAGATAAAACTGGAAAAAAGATAGCTAGGAGAGTGGGAAAATAGTATGCTTTGAACTCGCTGTGGTCTGATTGGGAGCAGGACCAATATTCTCTAGTTACACAGTGTTTGGTGATTGCATTTGCATCCTATCTAAAATCCATGGAAGTTGTGCCTACCTGCAGGACCTGAATCAAACTGAAGTGGAAGGAGTGAGCTGCATTTTCTAACCTTTGCTGTTTCTTTTGAGTCATTAATTTCACTTCTACTCCCTGCACAGGTAAAGAGTGGGCACTTCTATTCTTGCTCAAACTTCTACTTCTCTCAGAAAAGCACCCCTCACATAACTATGAGCTGCATGATATTTCTATTGCTGGACATCCAGCTATACTGGACCCACTAATATTTTAGGATCTAATACTACGTCTTTACTGAGGCAAATATTCCTATGAAATAAGGATGTCCACTCGCTGGACAAGAAACAACAGTTGTACTTGTCTATTTTTCCAGCATTTCGGGTTTTCAGCCAGTCATTGAAAGTCGCCCAGTCATTAGAAGGTTTCCAAGCTTCTTGTCCCACAAAAAAATCTGGGCAGATGGCTCTGCAAGAAAAATGAAAATATTTTATGCCTATGAAATAATACTGAGAAAGGATTAAAGGGAATTCCATGTGTACTACACAGCAAATTCATTCTATTGAATACACATAGTATTCAATCTACATCAAAGCATTATACTACCAGCCCTCAATATTTTTCTGTCTAATAAGACCAGATACATTTTGCTCTGTTAAAATTCATTAATTAGTCTGATAAACAGCTAACTGTAACTGAAAATCCTTAGTGGTTTCCTACCAAACTTAAAACCCAACAAAGGAAACAGACTACACTTTACACGGTACATACATTTGGGCTAGAAGGAATGCTAACCCAGTAATACAGAAAGAGGATACCAAATATGCTTTTCACATATTTGATAACTTGTTTCTTTTTTTTGGCACAAGCTGGCACCCTTTACCTTTGCAGAAAGACCTTTAGTTTCTCTGGAATTTTTACCAGAACAGCTAAGTTGCACAGAAGCTACATCAGAGAAAAGAAGCAGACTGCTTCAGGCTCATGGAGGATGACAGATGCAGAATAAGATTTTTCTGTTTCCCCCTCTCTTCCTCTGTGCTTGCCTACTAACTTGTTATGGTAGGTCTACTCCATTATTTTAGATTTCTTGCACTGTTTTAACAGGAAACTCTTCAGAGAAAGGTGTAAGGAAAGCCTATGAAATTATTTGTGTTTGTATGGTTTATATGAAAAAAGGAAATAGGTGGTTCAACAAGCTTTCTTATTAAAAAGACACTTTGAAAACAGTAGTATTTCTTACATGTATCCATTACTTGTTAGCATATCAGCCATGTATCTGGTGTTTGGGAGTTGCCATCCGAATATATCATGAATCACAATCACAGCTTTGTCTGTGCTGGCAGGTGGTTTGCAGACATATGCCTTGATGTGCTCAACTTGTACCTCCTGCCCACGGCCTCCATAGTCAAACCTGTCTCCAATATCACATGGGCAGGGCCTTGCTTCATTAGCCATGTGTGACACTAGAGAACAAAAAATATTCAGTTGTGAATACCATAGCATACCATACTGACAAAGTTCAAAAGACAGGGCTATCATAAACTGCTGGGTTTTAATCAATACAGTAATACTGTGAACATGCTCACTACTGTTTGATCTAAAATGCAGCATTAGTCAATAAGCCCATTGGGTTGTTTTTCATAAATAGGGATCTTGTTAGAGTTACTTATGTTATCAACTCTTCAGCAGAGAACTGGTACATAACCAGGACTTCCATGCCCTGCAGTAAGTAATGCAACAAAATTAAAGTTATAAGCAACCAGCCAGAAAACCATCACAAATTACTTAAACAGCAATGTTCTTTCACTCTTCATCATGTGCATTTCCTGTCCAGAATGCATAACTTTCTTTAGTATAGATTGCAAAGGCTTAATACAAGAGTTAACATTTTGAAGGAAAAAAATCCCAGCTACTATGTGGAAAGATAATTACACTTAGAATAAATATTATGTTTTCCTCCAGAAACTTAAAATAGTCCATAGCTGACTTTTTCAGTGTCAATAAATCCTTTTTTCTAAACCAGCTTCAGCCTCAGATGTTGCAGACTGTTGAAGAAAGACACTTGAGACAGGTGCCAAGAAAAATATACCAGCAAAAGCCAGAGTATAAAATCTTATTTATTTAATAAGAAATGCCTTCCAACTCAATATAGTAAAAAAATAAAATAAACAAACAAAACTGAACATTAAAAAAATCCTGAAGTTGAGCCAGCTTTTTTATCAAGAAGGTTACAGTAGGGTATGGTTAATTTTTTTCGAACTATTGCTTAAATGAAAACAAACAAGTAACTCACAAAGGTCAGAAAGTGCCAGCAGAATTGAACACAGATATGTGTAGCTCCTTGGACTCCTTAACTTGGAAGTTAATGATTTTATGCCATCAACCTTAGGTTTACCAGCTGAGTGAACTGACCTAAATAACGTTATTCAGTATGCACAGAGCATATCTAAATGGCCTAAGAATGTGCAGAGAATTTAGATAAAACTTTACCTAAACTCTACAGATAAATTGTGTGTACTGCCCAAGAAAACTTTGTTAGTACAGGAACAAGGATGTTCAAGCTTGACTGTGCCAAATTTGCTCACTGAGGAAAACAGAAAAAAGCAGATTCCTGAACTATCCCTGGACAAGAGGGACTTAAATAGTTGTGGCACTACAGGGACTACTTTGGGAAAGCAAAAAAACCCCTGGCAGCCAGGAGAATTTCTAGGGACCTAGATGTTCTGTATTTGCAGACTTCAAAATTCAGAACATCCCAAACAGTATTACCAGGGCTAAACTGCAGATCCCACGTGATTTCATTTTGACAGATCGATTCAAGACAAGCTGTGTCATATTTGAAAGCTGTGTTAACTCTGGGCACATGTCTACACTAATCCTCTTCTTTTTGTTTTTTATACAAGCCAGTCTCAACCATAGCTGTCTTTTTTTCTCTATATGTTGTGGTCTCCATATAGGACTTCTAATTTAAAATCAGTCTACCAGGAAAAATGTAATTAATAAATGAGCATATAAGGCAAGATACAGGGTAAATACATAACAGGAAAGAGTTGAAAACTAATTTTCCAGTCACAAATAATTTCCTTTTGATTAAAATGAAAATCACAATATATAACAAAACCAGGAACTGAATATTAAAGAAACATACATTTCGGAACTCCAGGAACACAAACACAATGCCCTTACCAGTCAGTATATCCTTAAAGGCTTTAATTGCAAACATTTCACATCATCTGATAAAATGTAAAGCAACACATAAAATGTGAAACATTTAAAGATGCAGGCACATCAGCTGAGGAAAGGAGGTCCAGACAAGCTTGTGAGGGGTAGTGTTGGTTTGTATGGTTTATAAGCCATACAGACTTGCAAGTCTTGTTGCAGTCAAGACATTGCAGTGTTTCTGAATTTGCAGTCATGTGCATTACATACAAACAGTATCTTTCTTCATTTCTAATATGTTATTGAAACATTACTTAAAAATGAACTCCCTTCTCTTACATTCATCAAAGCTATTCTTTAAGGAGGATCTGCAAACCCACAGCCTTGGTGTTCCAGCATCTCCACCTGCAAGCACGTGAGCATTTATTTGAAGACCAAACAGTAACCACAACCAGGAAAATATAAAAATATTGCTGTGTGGTACTTTCCCTTTCAACAGACCCTCCTGAGTCTTCCTCCTGAGAGGTGTTCCCCACTTCAGGAGGGAAAATAAAAGGTTTCTGAACCATCATTAAAAAAAAAAAAAAACAAACCAAGGAAGAAAGTAGCCCCCAGTTGCAATTAAATGAGCTTACACTCTTCAAAACAGTACACGCATAAAATGGAAGTCCCCCAAACACGCTGAGTCAGATCTCAGCACGCACTTGGATTACATTTCTCAGAAGAAAAAGCCATGAGGATTTAAAAAAAAAAAGCCGAAACAAACCCCACACATACCTACAGCACAGCAACTGCGTGAGACAGTAGAGGTAAGATGCAGGAGCTCAGCGTGGATGGTTACCGCTCAATGGGATCCCCAAAGAAAGCACAAAATGAAGGGGGTGAGTGTAAGGATCAGGTTTCTTTAAATAAGAATTACATAAGCTCCTGCCTTTATCTTTGTGTGTCGCAGAGTGACGAAGTCCACTCTTTTTAAAGCTGTTCCTTTCACCGCGGGTGTAGGCGGGGTGTGCTGCTGTGGGGAGCGTTGCTGTAGCTGAGTACCAAGCCTGCTGTGTAACTTGCACAAAATAGTATTAAGCATTGGAGGGCTTTTCCTTGCAGCTCAGGAAACATGATGACTCAGCTGAGCAATACATCCAGACAAAACTTCTTTTCTTCTTTTTTTGAAGGGTGACTGTTTTTAAAGGTCAGCGTAGTATAACTTCTAAACGTTGCATTTTCATTATTAGTTCCTTAGACTATTCATCCATGTATCTAAAGATGTATCTAAAGTCATCAGCGAGGTGAAGTAGTGAAGTAGAAGCATCATTTCAAAGCTCTATACAAGACAAAACTTATATGGTACAGGAAAATATTTTATCTTTCAGGCTGAAAACAAGTAACATGTAAGAAAATAACAGCTTTGTAGATTGCTGTACATATATGCTGTACAAGAAGTGTTTATCCTATCACAGGACATTTTTATCCTATCACAGGACATTTTACACTCTTTTTTCCTTTTTTAATTAAAGTGTCTGACTGATCCTTGTATCCCTCCCATGTTCCTGATTTTCTTTTTATGGGTTTATTAGGATTATTCCTTAAAGAGCTTTAGCTAAAGACATTAGCAATCCAAATTTCACTGTTTCCTCAAAGACACGTCTAAAAAGTAGAATAAATGCACATGGGTCTACCACACTGCTGTCTTACAATTTAGTCCTCATGTATAGGCTGTTTTCTCATATTCTAAATAACTCTGTTAGTGCTATTTGTTTTCAATCCCTAAAATCAAGCCAAACAATTGGAAAAAAAAAAGCCTGCCTGAGAAACCCAGGGTGAAGTCATAAGGTTCAAAATTCAACACCTTTGTTTTAGGTTTTTGCCTTTTTCCCACTTGCATACTACAAATTATAGCACACAGGAAACTCAGATACTCCATACCAATGTCAAAGAACAGTAGTCAAATAAATGAGAGAAATATTGGGAGTTATCGTCATTCCTAGAAAAGAAGAATGACAGCAATGCTTGCAGAACCTTTTCTCCTCTAGGGCTACAGAACCACATTTCCACTTCCTTAGTCATGTGGCTCTGGAAATAATTCTGTTTACATAAGACTATTTCCCTTTACCTTAATATTAACATTAAATGGCTTCTATTTTTGATTTCCTGCTGTTTCATGTTCCTTGATAGGCAATCCATGCTGGTTTTTTACCTGGAAGTCAAAACTTAATTCAACACATCCATGACCTCTGTGCTGTTGGCTGCACTTCACACTGTAAACACACACTTCTTTTGGATCTCACATTTCCAGCTCTTACTCAGTGACTTACAGTTTTATCTCAAAGACTTGGCTGTACTTGCAGTAGCTCACAGCTACCCTTTCACTTCAAACAAATGCTGCATCTTGGTTTGTTTTGTTTTTTCTTTTTGCTTAGTCACAGTGTTAGTGTGACAGCACACATGCCATTCCAGTATTTATGAATGACTGCTGTTCTCTAAATAGATGTCCTGAATGTCCTCTCACACATTAGCTAAAATTCTAATGCTAATGGAATGCCATTAATGTGGAATTATCCAGGTTTGAAACTGGGGTAGTTAAGGTGCAACAAACTGCAGACCTCTACATTCTTCTCCTGGGGAAAAAAAAGTGTTATGAAAGCTGTATCACCCGGGTAACATCTATTATTATATTACATATAAATGGTATCGTATGCAAAGCAACAGTTAATCACAGTCCCAGGTCAGAATTCTCTGATGACCTCCTCATGGGAAAGATGTTGGGCCATTAGCAGCATGTAAAGGAGGCAAACATGTGGGAAAAAGCAAAAGAAATTAAAATCCTATTAAGAGAAATATGGTTCATTAACACTGTTGACTATTTTTACATGAGACACACCACAATATATATTTTTCTGACAGTATATTTAATTTGAGAGACTGTCATTAGTAAAATTAAGCCTTTCCTAAATTACATTTTCTCCCCATTAAATTACATACACTTTTAATCAGTAGCACTGAGACGGTGAAAAGGAACATACAACTTTAGAAGTACCAGCGCCTGGTGAACATACGAGGCAGTTGGTTTCAAACTAACAATCATGAGTCTTTCTCCCCATGAGGCATAATTAAAAAATGTAAATTGCTATCACAAGATGTGCTAGAGATCAGCAGATCAAAAAGGGACTGGCAAATCCACAGAGGCTCGGTCCACCAGTGGCCATTAGACACAATGCTCCAGTGGGAACATCCAGCTCAGGAATCGCCTGAATAGCAGGTTGTCAGGATGTTTAGCAAGAGGGATAATCCCTACACAGCCACTGCTGGCCACAGATGAAGCAGCTGAGGTGCTCAGGTGGATGCAATCTTGAGCTGATGCAACACAGAATTTTGTCATATCGCTGATGGGAAAACTAGGTAACAAGATACATTATGCAAAGAGATGTAAGATTTCTCCTTTAGGTAGTAGCCATGGTTATAAGCCCCACGTAAAAATGCCATGTCTGCAGATTGCATTGTACTTTTCAATTCTTAAACTGACCAGGAATATAAAACATACTCTAGAGTTTCACAGAGCCACAGGTAATCCAAGAAAGTAGTACCCCAACTGAACGGCCTTAGCCACAAATTTTGAAACAAGATATGCTCACTTACATCATCTGTTAAATACACATTGACCACCAGGGTACAAG